CGGGCTACGCGACCGGTGTTGATCGACGACCGTCGTGTTGTTCGCGGTGATCGTCACCCGACCGTCGTCTACCAGCACCTCGGCCGACAGCCGAACGCTGATCCGCAGCCAAGGACGGCGGTACCGTTCCGGTTGACGATGCAACTGCCGTCTCTCGGGTTGCGAATCGTCACTCATTTCGACTTAAGTGAACGATCAGAAAAACCTTCTGAAAAAAAAAAAAAATTAGAAAATTAATAACAATTATTCACAGTGAAATTCGTGTAATCGGATCACTGTCGAAATGTGTGTTAGCAGTACCGAGTGTATTGACCTAGATGAAGCTATAGAAAAGATTAAAGATAGGAAAATAACTTTACGTTAAGTCGCAGGACAATTGAATGTTTGGCCTCCGTGTGTCTTCGATCGATGCAGAATCAGTTGTGACGCTACACAGTTTGTTTGCAATGCAGCAGAAATACTGTGCGATTCAAAACGTCATGGTAACCGGAACTGTACAGATAAATAATTTATAAAATTGACATATTTTGTTCATTTCAATTAACCTAACATTTCATTCGATTAAGCACCCAAAATAAAAAATGAAACACCCACCAATAATAAATCGTTTTTAAATAGTACCTACCTATGGTAAAACAACCAATATATTACTTGAAATTTATTATCAGTTACCACGACCGGCCTTGGTAAATTACGTCAATGAGACCGGTAAAAGTAAAGTACATTTGTGTTTAAAATGTGTTTTTTTTTTCAAAATACAACTACAAAATCGAATAATTTTATATATATATATATATATATATATATATATATACATTCCCGCCTGCCGACATCGTCATACAACCATCATCCAATATCAGTTATTTTTATATAATTTTTAATGTGTTTTCTTTATACAAAAATACACAACGGGCTGTAAGTTTATTGTTGAAGCCATAATAGATGTATGGATCACACGCCGCTACGATGCCGATAACAGTCGCACAGTCGCTAATTTATAATATTTATATAATTATTTTAATTTTTATTTTTTTTATATTATTTTAATGTTATATTTATTTACTTGCGGCTTACAACGGTTGGTGCGCACACACGCATACAATACATAATACGCTCGTGATGTCATGATAACATTATCGGTGCCGCCAGAATAGCATATACATGTAAAAATAAAATCTACTTTAAATAAAATCATACACGCTTGCTGAATGTATCTATATTGATCGATATTCGCAGTGCCATACTTATTTATTGAGTATTAATTTTCTACACGCTACAGACTACACACATATCAGTCCAACTATCAGTACTTGCTCAGTAAACCATTATCGAAAACCATTTCGTTCGTGATCAATAAAATAACCCAAAACCAGTCATGATTGCAATTCTGGATCCTAGTATGTTTTTCTTTAATTGATAAATTATAATATATGATAATAATTAATTGTTGGTAAAATGTCGCAAAATTGGCCTTTTGACCTGAAATGTAAAATTTCATGTTTTCGATGACCTGTAATGTACTACGTAGCATTACAATCTTTATACAGTAATTGCTCTGTACTTCATACGTATACAGCCATCCAGTACTTACTCTCAGCTTGTATTTTTTATTATGATTTTCATTTCGTAACTGTTAATTTTTCCAAGTGCAAAATAAATTATCAACATAGGTGTGTTCAGACTTTGGTGGCCGAAGGGGCTTAACAAATATTTAAATTATGGGATTTCTTATTTTTTTTATTTTTTATTTTTTTTTAGATATAAATAATAAAAATGCATTTAAAACTCAAATAAAAATACGTACATTTTACCACTCTACTGTGCTGTACTAAAACCATCGGTAGGTAATGAGTACAGATCGCATTCCTTTTTTTTTATCCTGGTACAATTTTATTGGAAGTAAATCCCGCCGGGGGGGGGGGGGGTCAGTGTCCACCCGGCCCCTCCCGTAAATATGTCTATGTGTTAAAGTAAATTGTACTTTTATTTTCCATTTAATCGATTCGGTAATGGGCGTTGACAAAATCGACCTCGTTCAACTCTTCTTTTAAGCGAAAAAATATGTCTTCCCTTTTTCATATAATAATATGGTTAAACGGTGCAATTTTGAGACGATAGAAAAAAATATAGTCATAAAAATATGATATTGTTCTAAATTATTGCCCCAGTTCAATTATTTTTACTCCCTCTAAAGTGCTTTCGCTTTTCGTTACTAGAGAAAACAATGTTGGAGGTGACTAAGTTCGGTCGTAGTTCATTGTCAACAAACAACAGCGACAACAACGTTGAAACGTGCACACACGCGTGAATGTCTATAATTCCAGGTAACATTTTCCGAATTTGTTCGCGTTTGTTTCGGTCGAAACCAATATTACTATAGTGTCCGATTTCATAAAATAAAATACGGTTTTCACAACCGCCGTTTGCTACAACTCACTTTTGTCTATGCAAATATTTATTTGAACGATAAAAATCATATTTTCGACTAGAAAATTTTCCGTCGAATAAACTTTAAAACTCGGGAAGAAAAAAATCAAAGACATCCTACGTCGTAATTTCGTAATTTATTTTATTTTTTTGTTCCATCTCTCACTTGATGATGACAGTCGCGATAATCGTTCCCGCTTTGTTCACGGTCACGTGGTCCTACCACGTCCTAACCGTTTCGGCCGATAATCTCAGAGAAACTTGGCCTACCGTCGTCTTCGGCTCTGCTCGGACGATTCGCAGTCGATCTGCCAGGGACATGCAAGAGATGAGAAGCAACACTCAGGGGTTGGAACTTTCGTCCGACCTGAAGACCACCGGCCAGAAGTTCTCATCCGACGAATACCACACTTTGTCATCGTTGACGTCCGACAACTCGGTCGTCGACGACCCTCCGGTCACCCCAAAAATGGGCGTTCACTCACAGCTAACCATCGCCGATTCCACTCCTCCTCCGCTGATTCCACCACCACCGCCACAATCGTTTATCACTCGGAGCCGGTATGTCGGAAGCAACCCTCAACAGTTCGGTGGCGGTGGTGACGGAAGGGCCTACCGACCGGATATATTCATCGACAGTGACCAAATTCCAGAATACTCGACGAGCAATGTGAACGCATTCCCCAAATGGAACAGGTTAGACAACACCGTTATCGATCAGACTTGTAGGGTACATTATTTCATTCCTCGGTTATAGATTTTAGCCACAACGTCAGGTATATGTATAGCTGAAACTGTATTATCGGTCACCTGTCTAACTATCTCCGTTTCAATATATTTTACGTAAAGTCCATGTTTAGTAGTCACATCACCTGTAATAGTTTGTGCTTGTTATAAAATCGACTAGATTATTATCGAATGATCCATTGCTCTTCAAAACCTCATTCTGTCATAGCGATATAATCTGAACGTGGTTGTCTTTATGTCTTTTCCGGAAAGTTAAAAACAATTCAGACTTTTTAAGTAACTAATAAATTGACAGGTATTCATTTTAGTACACATATTCAGAGGACGTCACACCCCTATGTGTTACATCTCCGTCTTACCAACGTATAACATATCAAATCTGCGCACCTGCATATAATCAACTTTGTTGTTGTTAACCTTAATATCAGAGTAAACTGACCTGTTGCCATACTCGATGGAATAACATTATTGTCTGCAATGACCTCAGTTTTTACGATACTTTCATTTTTAGCGAGTAATGAGCTTTTTCAAATCTTAAAAAAAAATTATTACTGATTATTTAACTAGTTACTTGATCTTTACCAGTAATCAATTGCAAAAATACGTTATAAACATAAGACGACCACCGCTATGGCGATAGTACAACAATTCCGACGAGATATTCAGATGGTAGATTTTAAAAAGTGCGTGGTAGCGTAAATTATAACAGTTTCGCCGTACACACGTATGGAACGTTCATAATAATCGTGATAAAACGGTTTTCGGACAAACATGTATTGGTGTTAACTCAACTCGTGTAATAAAATTCGAGTATGTATAATATGTTAACAATACAATCAATTATCAAAGCGGAACAATGTGCGCCGTCAGATGACATTATTCGGTACATTTATTTTAAGCTATGTCATTAACAAAATCCAACCGATTCTATTCATTAAAAAAAAAAAAAAAAAAAAATACTCTTTCTTACGATAAATATTTAAAACGTTGCGTTGTATTATCACTCCACGTATTTTGTGATATTTTATATCAAGTAATAGTGAATGAATAAACGAATTGTTAATATTTTACGTAGGTTATGGTTGCCATAAATTTATAAGGCGAAACCGGGACAAAACAAACAAATTATTGAGTAATATACTTTTAATATATTGGGAGGACCAGTGACGTATACAAGGGGGGTTGTAGTGGTCAGTTCCTCTAGGCCTTTTTTTAAATGTTATAAAATAATGTTCTTAGTGTAAGAGTGTTAAAAACGTAAAAAAAGAAAATAATAATAAAATAAAAATTATGATTTGTTTGCAAATCATCACCCCCCCCCCCCCCCATACAAAAGTTATGTATACGTCACTGAAGAAGACCATTAATGGCCGGCAATCATTGGCGTGCGCAAACTTTGTCCGCAGGGGGGGGGCCCTTAAAAAAAGTGAACCAAAGATTCTTATACTAAATACAGTATAATTAAATATTTTAAATTTTATAAATTATTTATTTTATTCAAAATACAAATATAAAAATAAATACTCTTTAAACTTACACAATTTATGTCTAAGAAATCCTTATTTACATATTATTATACTATTTACAACTCCATCCTTCTGTCAACGAGAGTAAGGTTTTTAAATGCATGAATTATATCTTCAATTTTTATATTATATTCAAGTTCTGATTAGTCTGATTAATTACTAATAACTTTATTACATTTATTCACAGATATAAATTCTATACTATATAATTAAAACAGGCTTTACTTTAATCATGTAAAATGTAAAAATGTTCGCCATCTTGTATAATATAGATATACACCTAAATAAGAAAAATCCAGAGTCTACAGGGGGGCCACGGCCCACCCGGTTACCCCCGTGCGTACGTCTATGCCGGCAATATAATATTTAAAAATCTTTTTGTAAAATAAAATATATTATATGTTTAAATTACAAATAATGTTTTTATTATATATTGTTAATCGATTAGGATTAAAAATGTACTTTGAAATAAACTGGTCGAAATTAAAAAAATAAACAATACTACATTTCCTTTAGACGTCGAAGCCGGGACATATGGACGTCCCGAAAACATTTTTCGGGACAACGGGACACGAAGTCCAAAACCAGTGACAATCCCGGTTTTCCGGGACGTATGGCAACCCTAACGTAGGTCCATCGGTCGGTTCATAAGTGACTGCCGAGTACGTTTGAACGTGATGAAAAAAATAATCGTTTTCCACATTGATTTCGGTGTATTCGGTGGACGACTTATCGATCGTTCAGAGTCTGAACGAAAATGAATTCCTAAAGTGATCTATATCGACTCCTTGGGGTCGATTTTGATTTGTAAGGGGTCTATGTCAATGAAGAAGAAAATTAAGGATGCATCATGTGAAAATAGGGGTCCACGGGATTTATAAGTCATAAATGCGTGTCGTAATTATTACGAAAAATATGTGTGCAACGATGCGATCAATAACGATTATTATAACTATGGCCCGGATTTCAATGCAAAGTGCATAGTTCTTTGATTGATCATACACAATGCTCTCTAAGAACATAATTCGTTTCATGAAACGAGAGTTTCAAAACTACAAATATAATTTTGCGTTTTTTTTTTTTACTATTTCGAAGTTTTTTCATTTTTAGAGCATTTTTAGTATTATTGGGTCATTTTGTTGGTTTTTAATGCATATTTGTTCGACATACTAAACAGATTTATCATATTCAAAATAATATCAAAAGACAAATTATTTTCTTGATATTTCAGTAGGTTTACCGGGTTTTTCCATAGACATTGTCAATCTTTATTTTTCGATTCAGTTTTTATTTTATTTTAATTTATTATTATATTTATATAATAAGCCACCATATTATTTATATTTATCATAAACTATAGAACATCACCAGTATTCGGCCAAATAACAAATAATCAGTCAGTTCGTATTACGTCGCAGACGTTGCTCGTATTACGTGTGTTTGTGATTTTAATGTATTAAATAGTTTGTTAAATAATGCCTAAAATAAAAAATATATGTAATTTTTAAGGTCATTTTTGTGGTAAAATGCATTTTTTAAAGACATTTTTGGCTATTTTTTAGAGCATATTCGTATGAATTTAAGTGCATTTAAATCTGTGCCCTAATTATAACGAACATTGTCGATAACGTCTAACGGAGTCCAAGGTGAATATCGGAATATTAAAATAAAATAAAATTTACAATTGATGATTACATATTCAACCGTTTATTTTTAGGTCTCACTAATAACTTATAAGTAGTATTTGCATTACTTATTGTTTTAATTACTAAATTACTAAAAAAATTATTTTCATATTATCATTATTAATGAAATAAAGGTATTATTAAAACAACATGTATTTTATTTAAAAAAAATTCACTCCACAGTAAAGCCTATTCTGGTGAGTATTTCTGTGTAAGCTATGAAAAACATCTAGATGAATTTGTAAAAATTTAATTTTATGGGACTACGAAAATGGAAAAAAATGGCACAAAGTCTACGGGGAAAAAAAATTTAGGAACCTCTGGTTCAGACGGACAGTACGAGTGGTTGTTACAATTCATTAACGACTCGTTACATTTATTGTGATATCGAGGACAAATAAAATAAAATATTATTTACAGCGACATCAGTAGAATAGACATTATTTGTACGATTATTATCGCGTGACATCGCGTGGTGCCATCCGATTTCGTTAAGATCGTAGTACCTATTCAATAACAGATTTTGAAATTGTAACGACTACTTGATCCAGAGTTGTATTCAACATTTCTCAGCCCAGGGGCAACAAAATGTTGCTGCCCTTCTTCCTTGAAGTGTAAAACCAAAAATAATTGTCTCCAACTATTCATTAAAAAGCCGCTCATAATTCATTTTTCCTATGTCAGTACACTATTACACATTGTAATTAATATCAAATCCATAATAATAATTGAATTATAAAGTTATATAAAATTGTATTTTATTGGACTAATGGCGGTACCCTTAAATAATTGAGTACCTTTCGGTCTGAATATCCCATCCCCATACAAATCAATATTAAACCAAAACCTATATTTCAATAAAATATCATGTCAAATAAATTATATATATTATTATATATTAATTATATAGATATACATTTTGTAAGCTACTAATTAATATAAATTATTTTATAGTATAATATTTATTTTTTATAATTTTCAATCAAGAATGCAATGATTTTATTTAGAATCAACGTAAAAATATTTCCACCCCATTAAATATTACAGAAGGGGAGCTATCGCCTCCCCGAACCACGCTTTAGTACGGTTCTGACTCGATGAAATGCATTTCAGTAAATACTACACGGGCCATAGGCAGCTGAAGAAATACGGGCCGATGATCATGGAGACGGACTTGACGATGACGGACAGCAGCGGCGGCAGCGGCGGTATGTACAACGGGTACGACAACGGTTTGGATTACGGCCAGATCGAGGCCGACAGTTACAGGAACCAGATCGGTGGCGACGGTAGCAGCGGCGACAACACGGCGGTGGGTTGGTACACGGAACCGGCCACGATGGCGTCGTCGCGCCCGATGGCCGAGATCCGGGACCCGGGCAGCAGCAGCAGCAGCACCAAATTCGTGTCGTTGGACGTGAAAAAGCTCATCTGGCTGGCCGTGATCAAGGCGGTGCTGGCCAAGCTCAAGTTCCTCGCGATCCTCAAGTTCCTGGCCGTACTGTTCGTCAAAGCGAAACTGGTGGCGCTGCTCAAGGTATTCCTGTTCGCCAAGTTCACCGTAATGAGCAGACTGTTCAAGCTGTGCGTGCTGCCGTTCGTGCCAAGCATGTTGTTGTGGCTCCGGTCCGCGGCTCTGATGCAGCTCAACCCCACCGCCGCAGGGATGGCCATGAACACCAACATCAACACCAACACCGCGATGGCCGACATGGGCGCGGGTCAGCTCCGGAACGACAGCGCGGCCGACCCGGTGCACATGCGCAGCACCGACCTGAACGCGATCGGCACGGCCGCCGATCTGTTTCAGTTCGTGGCCAACGTGCAGTCGGCCAAGTGCGCGGAGAGGACGGCTTGTCGCGTGGCCAGCATCCGGCCGCTCGGTTTCCAGTCCGTGTGGTTAAACTGGTAAGACGACGGACAGTTCTCGTCTCTGCCGACAACAATTATCGGAACGAAAAACCGGTGCGCCCGCGGGTCTTGTGGTGGCCACGCACTTCGGTTTCATTCGTCCGTGCACGGTTCTAGCAACGTATACCGATAGCGTATGCCGATAGCGCGTGGGCGATAAAATGCATGCAGAACGCCGTACGTACGGAAACGGAATTAAAAACTGAACAGTTTTATTCGCGTTGTCCGTATGTTCGGTGTTCGAAATGAAGAAAACCGTAAGCGCGTGCCCATTTCTTGTGTTCGAACTAAGACCGTACGATTTTCAAATACTTTCAGCGGCCAATCTTCGGTCCATTTTATCTTTTGTTTTTTACCTTTAATTTTAAGGACCCGTGCCCCGGCCGTGACTGCTAAAAGCTAAATTTACAGGAGCCATAATATGCGCGGAACTGCGAAAACTAGAACATCCGTAGCATAGGCGGACCCAGAGTTTTACATTTGAGTGTGCCCTGTTATTTTTTTAAAATATAAAGGGGAGGCTATAAACACATACGTGTAGACCGTATTATGATTTAAATTCTAAAAATAAAAGCTTCGTTAGTGATGTAAAATAATGATTGGTAAAAAATACACGTAATTATTATTTCAGACTTATTCTGAACACTTGCAGTATTACTTACAAAAAACTAAAATTTAATTAATGTGTATGCACATTTATTCTTAATTATAATTATTCAATTTTTTTATTCACATTATTCACATTAGGGTGTGCCAACGCACACCCGGCACACCCCGTAGAGCCGCCTATGGTCCATAGGAAAACCGAAGAAAAATAAATGTAACGTGTAATCGATTTCGGTGTTCGAATAAAACGTCCGGTGTTGTTCGAACACCGTACAACGATGCAAAATGTATGCTGTCGAACAAAAAAAATGTTCGAACCATACCGTGCACCGAACAAATAGAACCATAATGTGCGGCCACCTTTGACGGTTAAAGCGGGTTTTCTTGTTTTTATTTTATGCGCTTGTCACCGACCGGAAGGATTGCCTTCCGATCGTCGGCTTGGCGAATTTCGTCCGATTCGGTCTGAGTGGGCGAATTGTTTTTTGAATTTCTCTACCGTGCACGTCAACGAGTAACTTGCTCGAACCGACAAAAACTATATGTATATTTGACATCAAAGTAACTAGTATGATTATAATTTCATTTTCGTTCGCAGCACGATAACCTTATAGTTTTTCTTAAAAAAAACTATGATTTTTTTTTTTTCTAAATTGCAAAATGCAAACGTTTAAAAATAACTTTAATAACGGGTCGCTTTCGTTTGATCAGCATTTTTGTTTTTTTCGAGGATTTCTTTTAAAAATGAAATTGTTTTCGTAATTGTGTAAAATATACCCACTGAGAAAATCGAAAAGTTAAACAGTTTAAACACGATTTTTTTTCTTCCTGTTTCCCACTAAAAAGTTTCTGTTTGAAATATTCCACTCACTTGTTTCACTTGTAAAAATGTGTCAATAAAGAAAACATTTCTTATTAATACCAACAACTAAATGATAAAGTACATAATTTTTTTCTTTCTTTATTATATTGAACTTATTTGATTGTATGATATATATTACAATATTCAACGGAGCTATAGTTCAACATTCTTGATTATGGCTAACTAATATATTTGTTTAAATATTTTGTTTTATTTTAATATTCAGCTTTATTTCATTTTTAAAAATTGTTGGGTGTCTGAGCATTCGTTTTGATGAAATAATTAAATTTTTGACATGTTTTTCCATTGTGTATTTCATCTGCATGATAGATTTGAGAACATTTGAGAAACATTTGAGAATGTAAACATCAGAACATTTTAGCTTCAAATTAATTTTTATTTTTTTAACTGATAATCATTTGAACGAAAATCATCGATTTCTTGATACGAATACTGATATAACTATTTGGACTCCAAATTAAGCAAAAAAAAATCATTTTTAGGCTGTTACCTTTTTTGTTAAAATATTTTATTTTTTTTTTTCGTTTAAAAACTTCCTTTTTTATCACATTTAATAATTAACCTATTCATATGTTGAGAATTGGAAAAAAAGTCGTCCAATTATATATTTGTTTGTTTACTTTTCAGTTACTATCTTTCAAATATTGTGATTCACATACTCCTATAAACTGCTATTTATTTTTTATATTAGAAAAAAATTATAAGTTAAAATACTGTGTTTAGAACTTCGGCGTAAATAATAAAAAAATGAATGCAGTTTCTGTCGATTAAAAATTTATAATTTATATGAATGATTACTTTTAAACGAAAGAAAACATTAAATTAAAGTAAATAATGTTCACAAATAAGAGTGTGCACTCGTGTTAGTTTTTAAATAAAAATATGGATATAAATTTAATTTGCAAAAATCATAAAAATAACATAATCGTGTAAAATACAATAAATTGATATTAATTATTTTTTTATTAATTTGTTCGGATTATAAGTGTATATTAGTAATTAAATTAATAGCAAATGGTATAGAAAAACTTTTGCAAAGGTATAAATACGTGTATATTTACTAGAAAAGTCATAATTCTTAAAGATAATATTTATCTCTTAAAATTTTACTTTTAATATTATAACATGATGTTTATTTATTTAAAATGTAAACACAAATCAACAACGATTATAAATAATAAATAATATTATAACAGTAATTTTATTAATAGTTAATATTATAATTTCAGGATCTTATCATCCATGGTTAATTATATTCCAAACAAAAAACTCAAGTCATACATGTTAACATTCAAGGATGTTTCTGACTATCGTTTGGATAATATTTTCAGCCATCCGTCGACAGAGGAATGGTTAAAATGGTGCGATGAACGTTATTATTGTGACGAAGAATAACGATACCTCTGAATATAAATTGTATTTAAATTTATTTTTTATCTAAATTTGATTTAATGAAATGTTGTTTAACTGTGTATCTAATGCTAAAATTCATTGAATTTATTGAACTTTCCTAAAAGAAAACAACTTACAATATATTTTTTAGATAAGAACCACATATACTCTTCATACTAATACGGAATATTTAGATAATGTAGTATTAGCAAGAGTTTTAACTTGAAGAGAAAACTTTTTATTTATGTTCAACTTCAGGAATTCGTTACATTATAATTTATAACCATACATAAACGTGAACAATAATATGTTAAGTAATAAAATATATAATGTTTTGTAAAATTAGTTTTAAAGGAATTTTATTGGCATTATAATTGGCAGTCCATTGAAACGTATTCTCATCGTATCGTTTTTGTGATTTGGTTACAAACATTTTATAATATTAAATGCCAAAATCTTAAAATATTGTTTTTTGTATTGAAATAGTTTTACTGCAAATATTTCTTAAAGTTGTTATAACTTTGTGGGTTGCATTTATCATTTTAAATATTATTTTTAGATTTAAAACAGTTTTGTTAGTGTGTTACATATTTTTATTTTAATATTTTATTTTATGAATTTTATTAAAATTATTTATATATTATTGTTTATCCTTACTAAATAAAGTAATCGTTAAAAAAATTGAATTTATTATTTTTGTTTGTACGATTGCAGTAATTTAAATGCTTAAGCGATACAAATGGAATGTGTAATATAATAAATTGTATTATCTAATATTTATATTATGAATATAAATAATCGTATTACCACGAACTTAACTTTTATTGGTAACATAGATTTATTTTCAAAAATATAAGGTACGATATTTGAAGTTAAAATTATTTGTATACAAATATACAGTAGTGTTTATTAGATGAACTTTTATTTTATCATATCCTGTAATTTTTCTCGTCCTATTGTATACTCCGATGTTTTAAAAGATACGTGTACTCGTATTATAAGTTGCTCCTTGTGAAACATTCCTCTTTTTCTGTGAATATGTATGAGCACTTGATATGTAACAAAAATTATATGAAATAACTTTTGAGAAAATAATTCAATCAAAGTTATTACTTTTAAGAGATCATTATTCGATTTGTTTAGCATAAACGCAGACATCAAGAAGAACTAAAAAAAACTTGAAAATGTTTTCAGATTGCAACATAAACGATTAATCTTTTTGTGTTAGAATTAGTTTGAGTTTGAAATAGGGTCTGTTTTATTTTCAGAAATATTGAAAATTATTTAAATTTAATTTTCTCTTCGCAAGGGGATAAATAGTAATTCACCATAATTTCGTAGCCACTTGGTGATATAATTTTATTAGAAATAGGTGGTTTTCATGAAATATAAACCATTTTTTATAACTTTAATTAAAAATACATATATACAAAACATAGTATCACAAAATTCGATGAACGTATATTACATAGATACGTGTTGTCTTTAAATTTTCGATACGGACTTGAATAAATTTATTTTGTTTTAAGCAAAAGATTATTTATTTAAAAAACCAATTTTTCAAAGCAAATATTCATTGCACCAATAATTATTACATGCCAACGCTTTTTACGACTAAACAACATACAATAAATAGTTTTAAGATAATTATATTCCCAAAATATATACACTTGAGTTTTTCACACCATGACGTATTCATTTTCTTTTCGATGCCCTCCTCCCCAATCATAATTTTTATAATTTTAAATTATTTCAATACTAGTAAGTTTTTATAATGTAAAATACACAACCATACCGTAAGCTAAAATTATCTTAATGTAATCGCAACCTTTTAATATAGTTATAACCTATTAAATGCATGACGTACTTAAAAAAAAATTAGTTAATATGAGTATAATATAATATATAATAATAAAATAAAATATACAAACTGGAAATGTGTACGTTTTACTTCAAGTTTGAGATTTATAAACTAAACTGTTTGCCGATTAGTTGTCAATAAAATTATATTTTTCCCTTCGTAGAAACATGTATCTTCCACAACAGTTCCATCGTCAAACAAAATAACATAAAAAAAAAAATTAATGTGTATTATTGAACTAAATATGAAATCTGTATAAAAAAAACTTTTTCTAGTGCATATGCATGTGTGTGTGTGTGTGTGTGTGTGTGTGTAACTTTAAGTAACTTTAATTTTTGTTTTAGAAACGTGACAGCTATTTCGTCCGGAAGATTTTAGGCACAGCGTTCCGCAATTAGCTTCATATGATTTACATGAACAGAAGAATAAAACTACATTGAGAGACTGCAAACGACGTATTTATTAATTATATTTTTCACGGTTTCGTAGAAAGATCGAAGAATGGTGACGTGTTAATAATGAAAACGTGTATGAATAATTTCTTCCCACGAGCCGTCGATAAATTATTTGGTACCATGATTCCGTAAGGTGAAGACGTTATTAAAGCAGTTCTATCTGTTTCGAATAAAACGAAACCCGTAGAATGAGCAAAATAAATTATCGCCTTCGCTGTTCCACGTACGCGGCCGATAAACGGTGCGCGATTCTGCAGATGTGACCAAAACGAACTCATCATAAATCGTCATGCTTCGATCACTCGGACGATCATTATTTCTCACTTCTCGTACGTCGATCGTCGGCAGTGGTAATCATATCGTCTGGCCAAGTCCAACGGTTATCACGAGGCCACTTTCCGCAAAAACGATCAGTCGTCCGCAGCGTTTTCGCGTTCGTCTTTTCACGGCTGTCCGTCGCCGACACCGTAATAATATACGCGCCCGGACGAGTTAGGACGTACAACGAGAGACCGGAAGTCAACGGTCTTTTAAAAGCCGTCCGACTGTAACATGACGTACAACTGTCCATCGACAATGCCCGTTGTGCTGGCGGTCACGTGGTCCTTGCAGTTGCTGCAGTGCGTCCCTGCGGTCGGGACACCTACGGTCGCAGCCGTCTATAGCACTCAGGAGAACAGACCGTCTGTCGAGCTACAAACACCGGACAACCGAGTCCCTGCGGATCAGTCGGACACGGATCCGGTGCACCCGAGCACGGTCGAGGGGTCCGCGGACGTAGCGTCGATGGACTTTTATCCGGTGCTAACGACTGGTTCACCAATGCCCGTCGCCCAGCCCGAGTACGCCGTCGGCAGTCCGTATTACTTGTACGTCGGTAGAAGGGATAACCATCGGGAAACGAATAACCCGCAACCTCCGGAGTACTTGAAGAGCCACAGATCGAACGCGAATTCGACATGGAACAGGTACGAACGAGTGTTGTCGTCGGCCTTGCCGCACGCGAGTAACTCCTCTCCCATCGGTGTACGCACTCGGTAGGTTAGACTTTGATACTTTGGTTTCCTGATTGAGTAATAATGTGTTTTGAAAAATAACTTTTATCGGTTTACCGCCATCACTCCGTAGTATTTCTTTGATCGCCGCAATGCACAATATAAAATACTTTTTACCAAAAGTTCATACATGTTAAATTTTCAAAATTTCAATTATTCTAAAGGACAGACCAACATCTCTTCAGAGTTGGTTTCAAATGAATAACTACGTGTACCGAATGTTCAATGTATCATTATTTTCGAATCTTGGTTAATATAAAATATCGGATTTCGTATTATGACTAATGATTTATTCTGGTATTTTTGTACTAACATTAATGCGATTCTGAAAATTAAAATATTTAAATTTTAAAATATCCTATTGTTTTCCTAAATTATAACCGTTCTGAAAAAAAAACGTAATCATTAACGTTCGAAAGCAGATATATTTTTTTAGCCAAAAAATTTACTTCTTATAATTTATAAAATATGTAGCGATTAATATGTAATATTAATCGATTGTAAGACGTTTTATATCTATATTCATCATTATAATATAACTTTGAACGTTTTCTAAAAATAGACTATACTTTGGTTAACGCATAAATAAGATTATTTTAAAAAACTCGATTGCTTTTCAACAGTAGTTAAATCCACCGTTTAATCGACCATATCTGCTTAGAACCGTTAAAAAAAAGTATTTTTAAATACAATTTGTTTCTATTTTAAGATTTGAAGACTTCCTCTCACCATTAGCTCACTTTAAAAATTCAATAAAGAATGGTTCAGGAATAATCATTCTGAAATTGCATTTATAATGTGAATACTCATTATCTGTGTTACTGAGATCTATAAGTAATCATCATTGATCGAAATCGATGTTTTGATGTTTATTGACAGGTACCACCGCGGAGGTTACCGACGGTTGAAGAAGTATCGAGTACCGGTGATCGTAGAGATGGACGAGGACGTGGACTATGAAGATGTTCGTACAGGTACTGGTAATGACGTGGTGAGTGACAAAAGTACCGGAAACACCAATTGGTACAGCGAGCGACCTGGGCATGACCAGTGGTCCGACCACGGGAACCATCACCACCGGATCCGTGGCCACGCGGTGAACGCGAACATACTGACAACGATTGAGATATTGATGACCAAGTTGAAGGCGGCCAAGGCCATGAAGATCATCCTACTGCTGGCCACCAAGCTCAAACTGCTCTTACTGTTCAAACTACACATACTCACTAAACTGTTTGCTCTGGCCCAGACCCTGAAGCTGCTGACCACTCTTTCTAACCCGTGGTCATTGTTAGCGAACGCGAACGTGGCGGCCACGGTTATCGCCAACGTCTTGAACACGCTAAACGTCGGTAACGCCGGTAACGCCGGTAACACCAGTAACACCGGTAAAGTCATCGGCACTGCTGCTTTTTGCAGGAACACGCTAGCCAGCCATTCCCGAGTCGATGGGGCACATGAAGGAAGGACGATTGCAGTTGCTGCAAGCGTCGTGTCGACCTGGACGAACAGGTAAGCGATAGACATTAAGCGGCCGATACGAAACGATAACGCGTATTGTTCGTATGTACCGATTATCGACTTTTTTTTTAAATAAAGTTTATAAAATCTGCGTATCGAGAGTGAATCGAG